GTAACATACAACTTTTAGGCCACGTGAAAAGACATTTAAAAGCGGCGGCTTTGATGAACTTTTTTTCGAAACAGAACAACCACCCCTCTCAAAGCAAGAACAGCACGTGGACATGTATTCCCTCAGAAAATGCGTACAAGTCGTGAATAAGTAAGCCTGATATAAGCCCAACACCAAAAAAACAGTGATTTATCAACTTGTCATGTTTAGAGGTAGCTCAAAAAGTATTTATGGAAAAGCCGGAGGACTTGCAGGACCGCTTAAATAAGACACGGAAACTGGAACCACCCACAATACATGCAACTTTGCGCCAAATTCCAGGGAAAGCAGTTTTGCGATCAAGGCGAGCGTCAGTGTTTAAGTTGTGATTAGTTTTAAAGTTGGGGGTTTAGGTCAGCGTTGGGATTGAGGTGGGGATTATATGAAGGGTTAAGGTTTGGATTCATGTTAACTGTACGGTTTAAGTCAACAGTATGGCTAGGGTTAAGATTAGGGTTACAGTTTAATTTTGTGTTAGGGAATATTTACCCTTCGTTAAGTTTATTGTAAGGCCACTTATTTTAGGTGGGCGGTGGACGTTCCTATACTCCTATTCCTGTTTCAGCGGACATACGAGACATCCTTACCAAGCCAACATGTTACTGAGTGGAAAATGACCTTGGATTCGATCCCCGGCGAATCATGCTTGCAAGTTTATCAGAGCGATCCTTGCCATCCGCAAGTTCTTCAGAAGAGTTCAGTCCTCGTTTTTATTAGTATATCCGCACGCTGCCTTATGTTACCCTTCCTGAAATTTATTACAAGGCCATTTATTTTAGGCGGACAGGGTATGTTCCGAGTTCCGTGTCCTCTTTCAGCAGTTATACAAGTCATCCTTTTCAAACCTACGAGCTACTGAATAGAAGTAACGGTAATCCGGAGGTGGCTGCATGGAGTTCTGTATGTCGGCGCCAGATCATTGTATCGATTGACTGGGTTCTCATCGGAAGCCCAGGCTTTAATCTATTCCGAGTTAGTCTTGTTTATGGCGTGGATGATTATGTGTTTGATTGGTCCCTACCTCTTATAACTGTCGCCTGTTTTTTTGTTGCCGCTTTTACCTCTGACAACGGACTCCAGCAAGAATTCGAAAGCCCAGATGAATAAAGACATGATTCCGGCGAGCATGGAGAAGGTGCGGAAGTGTCACTCACCATTGGAGGACCGGTTTCGAGCAGGCGGTTGGGTCAGGAGAGGGATTGCCTGGGCGAGTGAAGTGTGGGGGCGCGGGCGACT